GAGGGGGGCCAGCTGGGGCTGGGGGTGGGAGTTGCCCCTTCTAGCTCCGATGCACCTCCCCCCACGTGGAACCAGTAACACACGACAGGTGTTAGCTTGGCAGCCCGGACGGGGAAGGGTGCACAGGGAGCACCCGGCTCCCAGCGGGACAGCAGCAGAGGAACGAAGGATCGGGCCTGAGCCAAGCCCCCAGAGCACAGGGAGATGGGCCAGACGCAAGTGTCTCCAGTGCAGGCCAAACTGGAATTCTCCATTCAAACATCCCAGGCCGGGGGGGTCAAATGCTGGGACCCAGACTTCTGAACCGGGTCAGGCTAAGCTGGGCCCCTATTCCAATCACCTGTCCAAGCTCGGGACTTGGCATGGCTCCAAGGGAGCAGATCTGGGGCAAGCTCCCCCCGACGAGCAGCACGCTTCCGCAGCTCCTCTGGGGCAGGGGCTCAGGGGCCCAGAGCCTCCCCCACGGGGAGTCACAGCTTCGGGGGTGGCTGAAGCGGGAGCACGACACTTCAGGCTAAGCTGGGCCCCTATTCCAATCACCTGTCCAAGCTCGGGACTTGGCATGGCTCCAAGGGAGCAGATCTGGGGCAAGCTCCCCCCGACGAGCAGCACGCTTCCGCAGCTCCTCTGGGGCAGGGGCTCAGGGGCCCAGAGCCTCCCCCACGGGGAGTCACAGCTTCGGGGGTGGCTGAAGCGGGAGCACGACACTGCTGAGGGGATGAAGGGAGACACAACACGGATCCCACTGGGCCAGCTTCACCCGCACCCGCAGGGAGGGGCCCCTCGGACGGCTCCGTGGCACGGCAGCGTGGCCTGGGCCCCAAGGCTCAGAGGTGCTCCACTGGCTCTCATTCAAGCTGTACCCTTGTGTGTTACCCAGCAGTGCAAGCCCCCCCTGTAGGCAGCCGCAGGCCCTCCCCCCGCACTCCCTTGTGCCTCCCCTGCATGCTCCCATCACCCAGCAAACACCACCGGAAGCATGCGTGGAGTCCCTGAAGCGCAGGCCCTTGTCTCCCAGCAGCCATGACCCACACACACATGCGACAGCTCCTGTTACAGTCCAGCTAGGCCAGATCCTCCAATGGCCACACCAGGGACAGTGGAAGAGTTAGACAGGGTGGAGGTTGGAAGGGCAGACCCAAGGGATAGGGAGCTCCCCTAACATCACTCTGAGGGGGAAGTGTGGAGAACTCCAGCCCCCTCATCCCTCCCTTAGTGGGGATCAGGGGTTTGTGGCAGCAGGAAACCCACTCGCAATTGGACAGGGGCAGAGTCTCTCTAGGAAGAGGCTCCTCCCATCTCATCCCACTGCTGCCACCATCCAGCTGAGCTCTTAAGAGGACCAGGTTGCTACTGTTTTTTTCCTAAGGGGAGGATGGTTTTGTGTTCTCCAAGCACCCCCATTCCTTCCCTGCCCCCAGCCTCACAAGCGAGGCCAGTCCAAAGGGAATGAAACGCTCCCTCTCCCCGCCAGTGGCCCTTCCGCTGGCTGCTGCCAGTGCTGTTCTCTGGGGCAGCCTCCTGCTCTGGCGACTTGAGCAGACGGAGCTCGTCAGCCTGCATGGCGCTGTACCAGGCCTGCTGCCCACCGTCAGGCGCCAGCACCGGGCTCTTGGCCTCTTCTCTCGCCATCCCCTGCTGAGACCTCACCAGGTTCAGCCGGCAGCAGCAGCAGCTTCTGCATCGGGTTCATTGTGGCGGCCGGGTGGGAGGCGGAGGCAACAGGCAGATGCAGGTGATGGACCCTCACCGACAGGGACACGGGTTCTTCGGCAGGAGTTAACCTGGCTCCACCGGGGGCCCCGGCACAGCCAGGGGCTCTCTGCCCCCTCCTCCCCGGCGCCCCTCTGGGGATGTTGGCGCGGAGCCTGGATCCCGAGCAGGCAGGCGCAGGGCAAGGCATGAGGTGGGAAGGCAGCGAGGAGTGGGGGCCGGCGGCCTGCAAGGGGGGCATGACAGTGGGGGAGCAGCTGGGCTCCCTGGATGGCCCCTCCTGGCCCC